GGAATTTGATCTTGAATAGTTATTTCGACTATTTGATTGATTATAATTATTTTGTGAATAATTCTGTGTATTTCTTCGTTCTGGTGATCTTCCTCTATAACTTGAGTTATATGGTGATTGGTTCCTTGAGTAACTGGTGTTGTTCGGAAGTGGTTTTCCTGAACTGTTGTTACTGTATATGTTTTTGTTTGGTAAATTTTGATCTTTCTTCATATATTGATAGAATGATTTGTTTGGTTCTCTATGTTTTTGAGGTTTGTTCTGGTTATCTTGTTGTTTTTGTCTACATTCAGAGATACTATGTCCGTATCGTCGGCAATAATTACACCATTTTTTAAAAGACGGTTTGCCTTTAAAGTTTGGGTGTTTTTCATAAATATTGAGTATTTCAGTGATTTTTTCAACGAGGTCTGTATCTGAATCCTGTATATGGTTGATATTTGTGGTATTTGTTTCGATTCGGTTAACATATTGTAATTTCAGATTTTCTGTTTCTTCAAGTTTCATTGTGATTTCCGCTTGCTCTAGTTTGTCTACTAGTTTTCGAAAATCTAAATCGGGCTCTCGAATTGAGGAGGGATGGGATGCTCTCTTTTTTATTGCTATTTTCCTTAATTGAGGTGTTAAGGTCATCATTCAGATTTCTGTCATTTTTGTGTTTTTATAGTCGTGTGTATATAATGAATATGCTTTTCGAACTAGTGTTTCGATACGTACTGCTAATTGTTTGATGGTTTCATTTGGTAATCTGCGAATTTCATTACATAAAACTCTTTGTTGTTGTTTATTTCTCTCGGAGTCAAACATTTTTGAAAATTCTTGTGTGAATCTTTTCCAATTTGATTTTATTTCTATAGGCAATACTGAAAACCATTTTTGGGCTGCGCCGTCTAAGGTTGTCTGTATCAAATCTGTGCGTCGATGTATCCAATTTTGATGTAGTGGCGTATTAATTGGTTCAGGTCCTATATTTAAAATCAAATTTGCTGTTACTGCATTTAAATAATCTTCTACAGAATATTCAGGGTCTGTTCCTGTGAATACCATTAAAGGTTTGTTTGATGTTATTGATGATCCACCCATAAGGTATGGATTCATTGTCATTTGTAATGATTCTGCGGCATTTGGCATTTGTGAAAAATTTGAAAGTTGATTATTTGTTATTTCGTGTTGTTGAAGGTAATATGGGAGCGGTATTTCATTTTGCATTTGTGTTGGTTGATACGAGTGTGTGATCATTGGGTTTTGTGGCTGAATTGGTTGAAAAGATTGTGTATTAATTGGGTTTTGCATTTGTATTGGTTGTTGATTTTGTGTATCTATTGGGTGTGGAGAAAAAATTCTATGATTTGTATATGGTTTCTGTATTCTTTGTCCACGATATTCTTGAGTGTATGGTGCAAATATATCTGTTTGTAAATAATCATCATCAGAGGATAGATAATCCGTTTGATGAGATGCTTGTTTTTTATTTTTATTCTGTTGAAAGAATGGATAATTTTCACAACGATCCTGTGGAGGATGTAAATTAGTTTGAAAATTTACTGAGTTGGTTGTTGTCATTGGATTATCCCAATATTGAGATCTTATCTGATTATTATTATTTTTTCGTGGGGGATAGTTTGTTTTTGATGAATGTGTGTAATTATAATTGTGTTCCGCAAAAGTGTTTCTTTTGAATGTTCTGCGTGTTTTTGACGGTATTGTTATGGGTCTATATGTTTGATAATCCATTTGTGGATATTTTGGAGCAACCGAAGGTTTAACGGTTGATTGTAAGGTTACCTGTGCTAGTGAAGTGTTTGTGTGTCTTGGTGTTGTTAAATTTGGACGTATCGGTGAAATACTTTGTTGTGTAGTTGTTGTTGTTTGGACGATTTCTTCATTTGTGAAGTGTGATGGTGTTTGAAAATCTTGTTGAGTGAGGTTTCTAGTTCCATTTAGGTTTTCATTGTGTATCACAGTCGAATTTAAACTATTATTTCGGTGTATCGGGTAAAATTGTATTGTAGTGTAGCATAATCTCGTGCATAAGATATTGTACTTATTGCCTGACTTGAGATTGATTGTGGGATATTTATGGATGCATAATGACACCATTCGGGGTCCCAAACATAGTGTGATTGTTCTGTGATGGCGGTATCATCGTTTGAACTTTGGGGTCTGAAATTTTTTCTTGCTTGTGAAATTAAATCTATATTATGTGTGAAATAATCTATTATAAACCATGCCAAAATTTTTTGTAAGTCATGTTTTGTATGTTGTTAAACATCATCTTTAGTGAAATTTGCTTTAATTATATTTAGAAAAGATGAGAATAGTGTGATTTCATGTCGTACCTTTATATGTTTGGATGTCTCATTCGGTGAGATATGCGGGATTGGGTTTTCGTTTTCTAATATTGAAATATAACTATATATTATTGCAAAAACTTCATTAGTAAAAATGGAGTTTGCTCTTTGTGAGTTATGATATTGTATGCTTTTTATATATTCTGAGAATACTTTTGAAAATTCTAAATCAAGATCGTCTGTTTGAATTACATATTTGCGGTGATTCGGGTTTGGTGAGCTGAATTCTATGGTGTAGATTCCGTATTTTTGTGTTAAGTTACATATATCTTTCAGATAGTGATCAATAATCTGTCTTTTTATTATTACATCTGGGAACTCTGTTTTACATGGGCTAATTCCGGGTTCAAACAAATTTAAGAGAAAATTCTTGCAAAGATCATGCTGTCCTCTATTATCGGGTGCATCTATTAAGAAGGGGTAGATATCATCATCATCTGGACTATCTTCACTGGGAGTGTGTGTTTGGCTCATTTTTTTGTTTAATGACTGTTAATAGGTAATTATCGATGTGTCTAATTGGTTGATTCCAATTATACAAGTGTACTGGTTTGTGTTTATATTGCTTTTTTATTCTTCTTTTTCCTCTTTTTGATGAATTTGAGGTTGTTTCTGAGTCTGAAAAATATAATTGATCGTGAATGGGGCAATTTCTATCTATAGATTCTTTTAATTTATAAAGTTCGTCTAAATTCTTGGCTTCTGATTCTGAAAATGCGTTTCTATTTTTGGAAAATCTTTTTCGTGTTATTTGTCTTTGTTTGGTTATTATTTTCTTTTTTAGTGTTTGTCGTTTTGTTCTAATATATCCAACTGTTTGTGTATGAGGTGTGATTACAAGGTCATATTTTTTGTTATCTATTTCACAGTTGTGTAAAACGATTGTTTGTTTGTTTCCTAGATTTTTAAATGACATAAAGTTTAGGATGACGGATGCAAAAAGTTGTTAGATGATTTCTATTTTCTTAAATTATTAGTCCTTACGATTTTTTGGTTAGCTTAACCTGGGTCTATTTGTTCAGGGTTGGAGAGAAAAGTATATCGATTCCGAAGAATGATTTTTTATTTTCTCGTGGCTAGTATAAGCTAAGGTGTTAACTTACTTAATCTTACTTAGGGGTAGTGATTGTGTTCAAGGGTTGGAGAATAGTAAATCGATCCACAAGGTTCAGGTATAATTAGAACGCGAGTAGTTTGTTAGATACTATTTTAAAATTACTAAGTCTAAGATTTATCCTGGGTCTGGTAAGAGGAGGGTTCAAGTGAAGGATGAATAACCGAAGTTCTTCACTGTTTATCCTAATTTGAATGATTAGTTTTGTTCAAAAATTTCGATTAGTCTTGGGTTTGTTGAAAGGGTTGGATAGTGAATCGACGTTTGAGGTCGTTAGACACTGGCTAAGTGGGTGGGGCAGAACAAAATTGTTCTTTTTGATCCAAGGATAGGCCTTGATGATCAAGTTTTAAATTTAATTAAATAGAAAATTAATTAAGATCCAAGGATAAGCCTTGATGATCTGATTTTAAAATTAAGTGAATTTAAGTTTAAAATGGTTTAAATTTATTTAAGAAAAAGATTTAGTGTTTTAATGATATTAGTGAGCTTATGATTGCTGTTATGTTTTAGACGATGAAGCTGGGGCAACTGATGATTTTATGATTACTAACAATTTATTTTCATGCTACTAATTTTTGTTTTGTTTTTCAATAAATATTTTCCAAACATGTTTTATATAATACTGCAGAATTTTAGGAAAACGATCTGAGATCTTTTTATCAATCGTTATTGTATATTAATAATTTTGTTTAGCGCCTGTAATGATCATGAAGTTGTGACTTCAAAATGTTATGTTTGCAAATGAAAATCTAAATTCATTGCTAATAAAATTCTAAATATAAAAGTTTGTGTTGGCTTTTGCCGTACTATCATATAACTATATGGTAGGTTTCTACTTTGTCGTATGTCGTCTCTGGTTCGAGGTCTTCTTCCAATTCCGGGTAGTTCTGTTATCGTTCGGAATATTGGCTTTGATCTATTGAGTCGTAGAGACATTTCGATTAAATTATCGTCGTGTAACATGTTAAAAATGTTTGGTCTAAATTCTAATCTATTTTTGGTTAATTCTAAGCTATTAAGGTCTTGTTCGAGACTTATGGTCGCACCAGATGAGTTATGACCGATGTGGTTAACTCATAGAGTAATTTCGGATAGGGTACACCGTCTGCTCGTCACGCTATCTTATTTTCGGCCGGATAGATTCGTGCAACTTCTTAGTCTAATACCGATCCTAATCTTACTCTTATACTATCTAGTCTCAGGTTGTTTAACTAGTCTCTGCTAGGCTCAATAGATCTAGGGTATACTGGTTTATTGCGGCTGCTGAAGTCCTTTTGGAGAGGCAACTAATTTCTAAGTTAAATTCAAATCTCTCTGGTGCTGAAATTACAAGTAATTTCAGCACTTACAAATAAGTGGGTTGTTAGTTAGATGGATCATGATTGGTTAATATTAAATACTTTACAGTGGTAAAATATCTAATTTATCCAATCATAAAATGTAGTTTAGATCAGGTTCCAAAGCATCAATGGCTTAAACCTATCTTCTTTCATTAAAGCATGCAACAAAATGCATTACTTTTCTGCAATCAGGTGTGTGGGTGTGTGATGATCACGGTGCAGGTCAAGTGCCACACCCTCTCATTGTGTCCAGATGGTACCAGCAGCTGTCTGTGGTTGACACGGTGGAGATATATGTCAAACTGCAGAACTTACTGCAAAGTGAACTAGCCAAGTAAGTAAAAGCACCAAAATTATCTTCTTAATTTCTACAATCTTTTAAAAAATTTTATCATAGTGGTTATGAGTTTAAAAAAAATCAAATGTTTTTCTTCGTTTTGATTGTTGGATTTCAACTTTCAAATTTCAGCCAATTTGAAATTGAACAATCGTTTTTAAGGCTCTCAACTAATTTGGAAACTGCTGATTATTTTGTAAACTACTCAAATGCAGTCCAATCACCGTTTTTTTGAAGACAACTAGGAATAAAAAGCAAAAATTATGAGCTCCATTTTATTTTTCTGCCATTATTTTGCAGGGGAATGCTGCTTTATCGGTCTGATGAAACGAATGGTTCGAAACTGCTGCAAAATGAGGAGACTTCGGACTCGCCAGAAGCAGCCAGAAAGTTTTCCACATTGTCAAGCAAGGACACTCCATTTAGTTTCGCACCCTTTGGAGTTAATGAGAGTGTCGGAGAAAGCCAGCGACGTTACTCTAGATGCTCGACCGGATCAATCAAATCAGAGGTTTGGGTGTGTTTTTCATGGAACTTTTTCAAAGTTAACTGCGTTAATTATCAAAATTAACAAGCGATAAGCAAGCATATATTCCTAGGCTTCGAGTAATTTTATAAGGCGCTTAAAACAAATTGTTCGCAGCATGAAGGCTTGAATGACAAAATGGCCTCGTTTCACTAGAAAAAAATTTGCATCATATGGACTTCGGAGGCCTATGCTTGGACTTGACAAATCTAATTTTGATATTCATTCGCTATTAATATGCTGCCTCATTATATTGAACACTGAAAGTTGTAAGAAAATTTCAGTTTTTCAGTTCAATATCAAATTTTTTGATTGACGATTGAAATAAATCTAATTTAGAGCCTTGAAAAACAGGTGTGTATTTTTTCAGTTTTGGTAAATTTAGTCAACGTTATAGCAAATTTAGACAACGTAATGGATTTTTAATCCATTATAATCTATTTTTTCCAAAACATAAAAACCCATTAAAGTCTAATATAGCTGTTTATTTTCCATTTTTCTTTTCAATATAATCGATTAGTTTTTCTACATCAAATCCTAGAAAAATGACTTTTTCGTAGATAATTTCTTTACTTTTTGCAGCCTCTCAGCAAAACTCGAACCCGAACGAACACGTTCATCCCCTTAGTCACCTCCCCCAACTTACCCGCTTGCCCCACTGGAATAGGTAACTGTGTCGTAGGATGTAACAATGGCGGTATGGTGTAGATTGCGAGGTTGGCGAAATAAACTGAATTAAAGAAGAAAGAAAACACACGCAATTGAAAATTAGAAAAAAAAGAAATTTAGTCAGAGAACAAAATAACTAAATTAAGTTTAAAATAATCATGAGCAAACAAAAATAGACCCAAAAGTATCTAAAAAAAGTTTGCTTCGAAAGATTCTTTTAAAAAAATGGAAATAATCGATTAAAAATAGATTTTATTGCATCGAAAAATATTAACAATATAATTCACTTCTAATCCATTATAATCAATTAGTTTCGAATTTTTTGAGAGACAAACAATAAAAATATAGTCGAATCTTATCCATGAAAATTCAATGAGGCGAGGCAGCTAATTGGTTTTATTAAATCCATACACGATTTAAATTGCAACGCTTTTGATATTATAAGCCTAAAATTCATAGTTTTGCCAATAGTTAATATACGAAAACTATCCGAGACCGATTAAAGGGCAGTCGGAACATTCAGGGTTTTGCCCTGATACGAGCAGTCTTGTTATTCCGAGATTTTCAATTTGTCCAACACGTGTCTTTTTTATAGGTGTACTTCAGATTTTGAGCAGCTGAGTTTTGGAGGACTAAAATGATAGACTAAATGCTTAGACAGGTTTTTTTCACAAAGTTTCTCCGAAACTCTGAGATTTGTTTCTTTTTCGCTTTTAAGGAACTTCGCTCTTTGCTGATTTGTTCAAAATTGAAATTAAATATAGATATTTTAAAATCAGAGCAACTTAGTAAATTTGCATCTGTTTGAAATTCGAAGTGATTTCTTCAGCGTATAATTTATAAGAATCAGCTCAGTAACCGCCAAAGCAACATTTTGCCAGAAATATTGCCCAAACTATCTTATAAAATGTTTTGATAATTTCTTCAATTTTTTTGCGCAATTAAAGTGATTTCATTTGAAATTGAACCACTGTTGGATAAATAAAGCACAAAATATTTGCTCGCGTCTACAAACAAATTGCCTAAAGTTTTTTAGTAAGCAAATCAACACCTGCCACAGTTTTTACCTGCAAGTGGAAAAAAATTGTGTCAATTCTTAAAATTTGACGAACAGTTTCGGAGAAAACATTCCATCAACTCAGCTAAATTTTTATCTAAGTTTTTCAAAATATAGTTTCAAAACAAAACGGTAAGTTGAGTCGATACTAGTTAGAATTGAGTTTAAAACGAAGAAAAATCCTTACTCGTCGTTCATCAAAGTTATTATCTAAAATTCTTATAATTTCAATCTCGTGAGCCACAGCAACAGTAGCGAAACCAGCGCAGGGGATTACCAAGCGCCGTTCATACAAGTTTCTCTTTATTGAAATTACACTGAGAGAATTTTTGCTTCTGCAGCATCAACACGCAGACATTTAAGAAAAAAATTGAATCTTCGTACATGAACCGATGGATTACTGTTATTCACTTTCTCTCTCTGACCAAGAGTTTGGTACGACTCCCAATTTCTTCGCACAATCATGAAAATTAAGAAAACTAATCGTTTCCCTTATTATCACAAAATTATTAATCAAACTTAAAAGCTTGGCTATTTTCTTGATTATAGTGGCTAGAGGCCTGAAAATTCCTATTCAAATCGGTTTAAAGAGAAAAAGGCAGAGGGGTTGTACGGTTGGTCAATTTATGAAATTCGTTTTTGACTGATGACGAAAATCTTCAAAAAACCCTACAGACGCTATTTTTGGTTAATTGCCTCAAAACGTTTTTTGGTATCATAATTAAAATTAACAAATTTTTTGTGAAAACTTTTTTGAAAAATAAGCTATGTTTCTGACTGATTAAAAAGGTTTCAAACTAAGCTTTTTTCGGGCTCTGGCTATCAAAAAACTTGATCATACAACCCAGTCTCTTGTGCAGATAATTCTTCCCCATCGATGATATTTGACCTTTGACTCAGTCAACGACGATTCTGTTTTTTTTTCTAGAAATGTATTAGCTGGGGCGCAACTACCCGCAGCCAAAGCAACATCAACGCAGCTGGTTCTCAACAATCGATAGACGAAAGCCAGCTGTTCTTCCAGAATAAATTCTGCATTAAAGAGAAACTACAACTCCATCAGGAATGTCCGATCGAAACTATGAAGAAAAGCTCATTTGCTGGAAATGACGACCGCGTCTATTGCTTCAAAGAAAACTGCCCTTTGGGAGGCGTAACTGAAAGAAGAGATACCCTCAGCTCAAGCCATTCATACAAGGAACCAGATAGCTTAATAGGATGTTTGCCACTCACAAGGTCATGGAGCAGTGAAAGGGCGCCGAATAAAAACTGCATGAAATTCAACTCACGCGTAGTCGCAGACAATTTTTATCAGGAACACTGTACCGAAGTTTAAAGTTTTAGAGAACAACTGAGCTCTTAATGTGTTTAAAACTTAAGCCGTAAAATTTTGACAATATTTGATCTAATATTGTCAAGTTTATTAGCCAAAAATCAATGTTCGATAACTGTCCCAGAAAGTTCCAGCACTATTTGTTTTTCCTCTGATCATTCTATAAATTTATGAGAAACTTGCTAAGCGAAACTGATTTGATGTGTCTAACCAAAACTGCTATGAAAAATTTATTTTTCTGATAAACTGAGACCTCATTGAGCTTTCAGAATTAAAAACATTTTGTTGGGAGTGAAAAAACTTGAGTTGATAATTTTGTTCCGACCATTAGGAAAGCGGGGAGGAATTTTAATTTTGGGTTTGTTTTATTTTTTCAGAAAAAAAAAGAAAAAATTTACAGAAGTTTAACTTTCTACTGGTTTGTAAAGTTCTCGAATCACACCGCGCTCTTAAACAGATAAAACTAACTTAAAAAACAGATTAAAAAAATTTTTTTTTGTTTTTTTTTCTTCTTAATTTGGTCGGAACTTTCTATGTTACTTGCACAACAACCGACTATCCATTTGAAACCTGTTCTATTTTATCTCAAGAGTTTGTTGTTTCTTCTTATGCTTTCAATCTCTAAATTTGGAGAAAAACATTGTTAAAATGTTTGAATTTATATTTCATGTAGATTGGTAGTTATTCTTTATTGCGCAGATAAAGTTTGCTTGCACAAAAAGCTGATACCAATATTGTTTTGTCATCATATGAAACAGCAAGCAGCACACTACAGAAACACAATGGCGGCTTACGTCATTCCAAAACAAATATCTAATTAAAATCCAAAAACAATAACCGTAAGAATGATCATCTGGTTAAAACACTACAAAGCATAAAAGATAAGCTTGAGGAAAACACACATGAAAGCTTATAGCTTATTACACTAAGCAACACATCAACTTTTTGCTTTAAACTTGTACGAATAAATTCTTGCGTCACAATTTTTTTACATTAGTTTTAGATGAAAAAGATGGAGTAAAATTTATATAAAAAATACCTAACAAAAGTAACGGAATATTTGAGCTCGGCTGTTTTTTTTCGTCAAATTACTGCTCCATAGACCTTAAAATTGCAATCGGAACAATCATAGCGTCGCCCTGATACGAGCAGTCTTGTTTACTATCAACACGTTTTTGCTCATTCAGAGCATTGCTTTGGTTTTTGCAAGTACATGTTGTTTCAGGTGGTTGCCTTTGAATCAAAATGAAATAACTCCGCAAAAAATTCAACTTTGGACTCGTACTCAAAAAACGAAAATATTCGAATAAAATACAAGCATAAGTCGCAAAAAAAATAAATAGCATGATGACCATTTTTTCATACCATGAATCTATATGAGAATTTTTTCCATACTATGGAGTTCTACGACAAGCACTGTTTCCATATATTATTTTAAGCTTGGCTTTATATTTGTGTTTTGCCTTGAAACAAAAAAAAAATTTTCTCAAACGAGTGAGCCAACAGGAAATGAATTGTAGATTAAACTTCGTTCTTAAATAGCAGATTAAACCTACTTGATAGATGCCGAGTAAGTTAAACAGTTGAATTTCATACAAAGTTACGACAAAATAATCAGTTTTTTTGTATGGCTACGAGACCTCGATTTTGAAATTATAGAAGTTGAAAATCTTGACCAAACCTAAGTTTGTCGTGATTTGGACAAATCTAAGTTATAATATGCTCAAATTTTGCCAACACTGAGAATCTTCGTAGTGTCTTTTTATGTGTTTGTGTAAAACGACAGCGCATTTTTGTAAATTAATGATAAACAATTTTGCAAATTAATGAAAAATTATAATCAGTCATAATCCGTTTTAAAAAAAAATTCTGCAAAACTTCTGCTAATAATAAAGGACCCGGTTGAGCTTCTGACCTCCATGCTACAAATGTTTGTCATAGAATTCCATGCATGAGTTTTTTGGCAAAAAATGCGGATCATACGACTTCCAATTATGAAAATTGTATGATAACAAAATCCAGAACGTTAAAACAGTCCAAAACTCGGCAAAATTTTTAGAAGCTAAACCAATTTTGGGACTAATAATTTTAGGACCATTTTCATTTTAGCAGCTAAACTAATTTTTGGACCAAACAAATAACCTTTTACAATAATATTTAAAATATCTGTTCCAAAAGTATTCCAAAAATTATATTTCAAAAATTTCCGTTTATTTTGATATTCATTTTTGGCAACGAACTCATGCATGGAATTCTATGATAAGCATTTGTTGTGAGAAGGTCAACCCTGATTATTACAAAAATTTTTCAGAAACGTTTTTAAAAAAGGATTATGAATGATGATAATCTTTCATTAATTTGCATAAGTGTTTGTCATTGAAAATTACGATTTGATTGTTTCATACTTACTTGGCATGAAAGTTCCAACCAGATTAATTGTAACAGTTCGACATTCTCTTAAACTTTACCCCGGCCCTTAAAACATTGATAAAGTGTTCAAAAAAAACATTTTTTTGATTTTTGAAAAAAAATTGCAGTCTTTGAATTTTAAACAACTGGTAGCATCATTAAAAAAACTTTGCATCATTTTGCATGAATAAAATTTGCTCAAGTTTTGTATCTTTTTTCATCAATAAAATTTTGCATCATTTTGCATCAATAAAATTATGCACAAGTTTTGCATAATTTAATAATATTTTTGCGTCAGTTTGAGATTATGAGTTTTGTAGAATGTTTTAAAGCCCAGAATTCTATAAAAATCGAGCATAATTAGAGAAGTTTAGAGTAGTTGTCTCAAAATTTATGTGAAACGCATGCAACTCAGAAGGTTATTTTGCTCTTTAAGAATTGAATCGCTAAGGGTCCAAAAAGATATTTAAATTAATCTATTGATCAAAAATGAAATCAGTTCAATGCAAAGTTTTGTCAGTTTATTTATAAACGGTTATTTTTTCAATTGCACGATCTTCAATTATTCTGTCCATTCTTTTATCCTGAAACAAAAGTTGAGTTTCAGAACAGGGACAAATTTTGTAAAGTTAAATACCGATGGATAATTATCTTACCTGGTCGACTAGTTGAGATCTCAGATGGTTGTTTTGCTCCTGGAACTGATTCACTTGCTTTTCTTTTGTTAGCAGCTGTGAAATCTTTTCTTCAAGCTTGTAAGATAGTCTACCACAGTTATGGCAAGAAGTCTGCCAAAAAAAATTCCGTTGGAATATTTATCTGAGATAATTTCAATTATAATCTTATAGGAAATCATTTTTGGATTCTCCATGAATCAAGTAAAATTTTACTGAATGCTATGAGCTGCAACCAAAAACATGGAATAAACAACTAAACAAAAAATGGTTCATATCCTAAAATATTCAAAACCTTTGGCGCGGACAGCAATTATACCATAATCGGTTTCTGACCTTTGATTTATCTTCGTAGTGCTTGAGTTTAGCCTTCAGAATTTCCGTCTCGTTCTGCAGTTTTGCAAAGTTTCGGACCATGTCGTCAAGTTGTTTCTGGCGCTCACTAAAGAATTGCTATTCTAGACAGATTCTAATTTTAATTCTGAAAATTGGCTATTCTTGACTGACCTTCATCATGTTTTTGCACGGCCCCTCTCTAAGAAAGGTCCTTGTAAAATAGGGTGTTATTTTTTTCCAAGCAAAATCGATAACCACAAATAAACGTCAGATGAGATCGAGTGACATTTTTGTCGTGATTTTAAACAAATGAAAAAATTGTCTTTGTGTCACACTGATCAAAATCTTTTTTTTTCTCTAAAACTGATTTTCATTGGGGTATTTCTTGACATATTTTCAATATTTTGAATCATGTTTTGTTTTCAGAACGGTACAAACATCTTAAATTGCTAGTTTTATCTTATTTTGCAATGAGTTTTAAAACATTTCTGCAGCAAATGAAAACGACAGAAAACTTTCTGATGAAAATATGAGAAATACGTGAAAAAAAAAATACATATTTTTTGCTTCCGTTTTCTTTAAACAAATATTGTGGTCGGAACATTTTGACCTTCTTGCAGAACAACCAGATACTTTTATCATGACATAATTATCGATATAAATCAGATCAACAAAATATCTGCTTCTGAATAAAATGTTTTTCCATTTAATTTCCTCTCATTAGAAGCTTCTAACTTTAATCTGCTTTATAGTTTGATCAGTTGACTGGCAAAAAAAGTAAGTCATTATTTACGATGAATAAAGAAATAAATGAGAAAAATTCAGAAAAATTGCGATCAAGATTTCTCACTTGGATTTCTGGCCAAGCAGAGCTTCGAGAGCCTTCTTGAGCTTTTCAATTTTGTCGTCCTTGAAAAACATCTCCTTCTCTATCTCCAGCCTCACTTCTGCTATTTTATTCACGTGCTGAAAACAGAATTTAAATTTTTTTTCAAATGTGTATATCAAATTCGTAATTATTTTCATCTGCTTTGTTTTTTCACGTTCTCTCAAGGAGAAAGGAAATTGGTTTGGTGTGAGATTCAATAACTTTGCATAACAGTCATTACAATAAAACCTCGATTAGATTTTTTTGCAAATTAATTGCTAAAGAACTTAGCGTTGCGTCGTTTTGCAGGTTTAGCAAAACAATGCTCCATTGCAACAAAAATGAGTTATGAAAAATAAGAAGATGATCTTTTTGCTTGCAAATGTTTGTGATTTTTATTCTGTTTCTCAAAGTTGTTTTTTATTTTTTTTTGCTGTGGTCTGGACATCTGTAACAACTTTCGAATGAAACGGCGGAAAAACTTGATTTGGTTAGTTTTTATGTTCAGTTTTAATGTTTTTGACAGACAGTTTTTTGATCATCCGAAAGATATTTTTGTTTGGAGCTCCAATAAAAAAAACAAACTTCACCAGTGATTGGTTTTTGTAAAATAATGGTGGTATGAAAAAAGCTAGTTTGGCCAATTTTGATAATTATCGCGCGATTATATTGCGTGCCAATTTGAATTGAGGCAAGTCATTCGGTCTTATTATAATACAATAAGGCACGCTAGATACATATCTTTGTAGTTTACTTAAGTGCGTGGGGGTTGAATTGGAGAAAAAAATGATTTTTTTTCCGAATTTCGATACGAAAGTAACGGATTATTTGTGCTCGGGGTAGGTTTTTTTTTCTTCAGACAAATTTCGAATATTTAACTAGCCATTTTTGATGGATTTTTTTAATATCATTCAAAACGTATTGATCTTCTGAGCCTAAATTTAAAACAAAATTTCACCTGTGATTGTTTTTCGTAGAGCTATGGGGGTTTAAAGTTGCCATTTTGGCCAATTTGGGACATTTAAGGCGGGATATTTTTCGCGCTATTAACGCGTAAGTGGAGATTTAATCCGTCTTAGAAATCGTTTGAAATTGGTGGAAAGAAGCTCATTTGCCATTATTGGTTTGTTACAAAGAGCGAAATCTATTCTTATGTAGCTTATATAAACTTAAATAAATAGTTTCATATAACGTAATGCCTGAGACGAGGAATAGATTGGCATCCAAACAGAGTGATTGGCATGCAAACGTTATATAAACTTATTAAATAGTTTCATATAACGTAATGCCTGAGACGAGGAATAGATTGGCATCCAAACAGAGTGATTGCTGTACTGTTTGTACCAAACCAAATGGAGAAAACTGGATTATGTGTGAGAGCTGTCAAAGATGGACTCACGGTGGGTGTGCTGGATACTCGAACGACGAGTACAAATTCTTGGCGAGGGCCAAAAATGTGATGTTTTTCTGTGACACATGCCTTCCATCAGCACAATGCAACTTACTAAAAACAACATCTCCGCAGAGGTCACCAAGGAAATTGCAAACTTGAAGGCCCCAGTGGAGTGTTAAGTCTGCTGTGACGGCACTGACACCAACTGCCATAGAACCCGAAGCTAAGTATTCTTCAATTGTGAAAAATAATGCTGAATATTCACTAGAGTTAAGGTTCAGCGGTTTGCCTGAAATAAGCGATGCCCCTAAAAAACCAAACCGAAAAGAAGTTTTTGAACACGATGAAAAACAGTTATTTGATGTTGTACATTATCTGGGTGTGGGAAAAGAAGATATATCCGGTTTCCGTAGGCTTGGCAAATACAATTCACAAAATCCTCGAGCAAGGCAAATTCTTGTTAAGTTCTCAAATAGTTATACGGTTGATAAAATATTAGCACGTGCACCAATGCTTAAAATTTCGACCCAACATACAACGATGAGGCCTGCAAATGAAAGAGCGAACACTTCTGAAAAAAAAGAAGAGAGTTATTAGATACAAACCAACATGATCCAAAGAACATTCATATCAAAAATGGAATTTTGTATTTAAATAACCAAGCAGTAGTAATTGATGAGTGACTAGAAAATTCAACTGGTGAACTAAGCAGGTTGTGTTATAACATTAGAAGTTTATATAAATCGGATCGAAGGAGAATTTTTTCGAATTGTCTGCTAGTAAATGCTGTTGATATTGTATGTATATCAGAAACATGGCTCACAGACGATATTGCAGAAGGCGAACTTTTTATACCTCAATATCAATGTTTTTTATCGAATAGAAAAGCAAAATCCGGAACAACAGCACACGGTGGGACTATGATTTGCGTGAAAAATGAAATCAACTCTGAGCAAATTAAATTGAATCTTGAAGATAATGGTTCAGTAACTGCATGCCTGATTTGTTTATGTAAAACGAAAATACTTATTGTTCGCTGTTATTTACCACCCTCAATCAAAACTTACGCTTACACGAACGCTGATATTGAAAACTTGTTTAAATGTTTGCAAAAAATCAAAAATAATTTTGATGGAGTAATAATATACGGGGATTTCAATTTCCCAACAATAAACTGGACGAGTCTTTCATCTGCTGTTGAGCAAGAAAATATTTTTCTTGAATAATTGATCGATATTGTTTGCAACAAAAAATCTCGTTCCAAACTGCTGCAACTGGTATTCTATATTTGATTTTAGTGGGAAAAAACATACAGATAGTGAAAATTGAAGACATTCAAAGGGATAACTATTTTAGCAAACTCTCGAATCATTTCCCGATCAAAGTTAAGTTTAACGTTGAAATATTGTCCTTGTTGCAGCGAAATTGCTGTAAAGATTTGATTTATAGCTACTGTAAAGGCAATTTTGGAAAACTACGAGAAACGTTGAATAAAACGAAATTCGAACCTTTCTGTTGTTCGAATCCTAATAAAGTTCTGGAATTATGGTATAGCTGGCTCAATACCGCAATATCTCAGAATGTACCAAGGAGAACAGCGCACAGAATGTCGCTACCACCGTGGATTACGCAAAAAACATCGCATTACATAAAGTGCCTTAAAACTGCGCGGAAGAATTTTCCAGAATTTCATGACAAGGTCATAGCATTAGCTGATTTAGTCGATACCAGTGCAGAAACTGACAAAGTTGAATACGAACAAGAGCTGGCTGCAGAACGAGCATCGTCAAAATTGTTCAAGTATTTCAAAGCATTTAGGAAGTCAAATCTCCCGCGGAAAATGTTTTACGAGTTTGTCTCGGAGGAGACGGACAAGGGTAAATCAGAACTATTTTCTATCTTCTTCTCTTCCGTGTATACAAAGATGACAAAATTTATTGAAGGGTGTAATGGAAAAGAATGCGTAAAATTGATTACCACTGTAAATTTTTTCGAAAAGGAAGTAATTGAAATTTGCATGAACTTGGACATAAACAAGAGTAAAGGACCCGATGAATTTCCACCAAAATTATATAAAAAATTGTACATTACTCTTTCTCATTCTCTTTCAGAGTTATTCAGAAAAATTTTCCAAACAGCCATTTTTCCAAACGGTTGGAAACAAGCAATTATAAGTCCATTATTTAAAAAAGGCGATAAATGTCATGTTACAAATTACAGACCGGTATCTTTGTTATCAATAGCTTCGAAAATTCTAGAAAGAATTATTTTTAGACGACTTTACGATCATTACCATTCTTTGCTTCACGCAGCTCAGTTCGGCTTCAGGAAAAGACGATCAACGATTCTCCAATTGATAATCTTTTTGCAAAAAGTAAACGAGGGCATTGAAAGTGAACATGATGTTGATATAATCTTTACTGACTACAGTAAAGCTTTTGACAGAGTGGATCATGATATGCTTTTGAAAAAACTTTTTGAAACGGGCATCAGAAACAGGCTACTGAAACTAATCGAATCATACTTGACAAATCGAGTACAAGTCGTGCGTATAAATGGAGTAAACTCGTCGCCAATACAAGTTACTAGCGGTGTCCCGCAAGGGAGTATTTTGGGCCCATACTTTTTCTGGTTTTTGTTAACGACCTCCCGAAAGTGTGCGATCAATTGTTTCCCCTACTTTTTGCCAATGACGCCAAATTTCTCAGCGTGGGTTTAAGCACAATAGATATTCAAAGTGATTTAAATGCGTTGTATGACTGGACCGTTAGAAACAACATGCCCTTCAATATGGATAAATGCTGACTAATTAAAATGTCCAAAAACGAAAAACGATTGCTTTTTGGAAACGAATCAATTAAAACAGAGGAAACTCAATCTGATTTAGGGCTCATGCTTCCCTGTGACTTAAAATGGAATTTGCATATAAATAAGGTTTGCTGCAAAGCAATTCGTGTTTTTCACATGATAAAAAGAAGCGTATCGAATCTTGGACAAAAAGCTAAACTGGATTTGTATAAATCTATGATCGTACCAATACTCACGTACGCAAGTCCATGTTATGGATTGAGTAAATACATTATTACGGAGCTTGAAAATGTGCAAAGGCGTATAGTTAAATGGATAATTCCGCATATGGATTCGTACAAAGATCGGTTAATCGAAACTTCACTAAAGCCACTGCCAATGTATATACAGATCAACAACCTTCTGTTGCTGTCAAAAATTTTATCAAAAAATTACGATGTTGACATGTTGAATGTTCCATCGCATTCCTGTTCCTCGCGCGGTTGTATATTTCAGTTCGAGAGGCCGAAAAAGAAATTTTTGGAGGACGAATTCTTTTACCAAACATGTCGGCTAGCGAATGTGATCAAAATTGACGTGAGAGAAACAAGCAGACTGAAGAAGCGAATATTGTGGTTATTTTGGAGAAAATTTGAGAAGGACTACGAAAAAATGAACAAGTGCACATGAAGAATTGCTTGCGATTGCACAATGAATGACTGTAGAAGTAAAACTTCACTATAGAACGAAAAACTGACAGGGGAAACCCCTTGTGCTACGAGCACAAAAGCCCTACTACTACTACTACTTATATGGCGCGTGGGGGGATAATTTTTATAGAAAAATTTCAAATTTTAAATTTTTTATTACATTTAATCTGTTAATGTTATTCTTTTTATTACTGCTCCGTAAACCTTAAAAGGCAGTCGGAACATTCAGCGCTTCGCCCTGATACGAGCAATCTTGTTATGATTAATTTGTCATTTTTTCAACTGAATATACAAGCAGTATTGTTTATCTAGAGGCGGTTTTTGAGTGCAGGTTAACTTCCACGTGCCAGCTAGGTATGCAAAACAAAAAAGAGCAATAGTAGGTCCCAAGTGGCCAAATGGATTTTTTTTTCATCTTATTTTGTTAAATTTTGCAAAGATTGATTAATGATCTTTGAAAATAGAGGCATCAATGTTTCAAGCCAATTTTGTTTTGAAGATTTTATTGCACAGCAACAAAATTTATTGCGCAAAGGAAATTCTTGACAGTTCCGAATTTTCTTTAATGTCGGTAAAAAAGTTTCTAAATTAAAAAAATATTGAAAAACGTGCAAAAATGTTGAAACAATTTTGATATTTTTTTGTGATTACGTAGAAAGAAGATTCTTGTTTGCCTCAGTTCATTTCGGAGAGATTTAATTTGCCGTTTACGCTTTAATATAGCAAAACATCGTCCGTTCATTATCCCATTTTGATATAGCAAAGTTGTCCGTTCATTGTCACATTTTCAGTTATAGTGGTTCAAGTCGTCTCAAATTCAAATTCACATAATTTATGAACAAATCTGACAGGTAAAAACTCTACTTAGTTTGAGCTTTGGACATCGAAATTTTCTAGATGTTATCTAGAAAAAAATCTGCCAAAAATGGCTAGTTAAAAAGTCAAAGCTCGTTTGGAGAAAAACCACCCGAACATAAATTGATTTATAACGTCATTTATTAAACATTTTGTTGCAAAACATTACAACTGCTTTCTCTGCAAAATCCAAGCGAAATTGAGACTATCAATTAATCACTGCCAAACATTATGCTTCTTTGTTTCAATTTCAGCAACTAACTGCAGAAGTTTGAATCATAGATGATATTCAGAACGACCAATTAAAAACTCTATAAGCTACTGACTCAGTCAGTTATTTGAATCGGTCGCAACGCAGCCAATTTTAGGCAACAATTCTAAATGCATTGAAGATAATGAGACCAGTGATAGCGACAGTATTAACATAGCGATAGTATTTTCGGAGTGCTCGGAAAATCAAATTGGTTGACCTTGAAAAAATCTCAAATTTTTATTTTTTTTTCTTGAAAAAAGCCCCCCTTAGAAAATTTTCTGCGCACGTCACCCAATGAGACGCTAAGTCAGTCTCTTTCTCTTACCTTTTTTTCTATCTGTTCAATTTTGGCCCTTTCAGTCTCCTCCGCCCTCTCCACTTTCTCCCTCAGTTCAGAGTTTTCCTTCCTCAGTGTCTTGACTTCCTCCTCCAGAGGCTCTAGCTGACTCAGTCTCTCCTGCGCAACCTCCAACTTCTCATTCTCCTAAAATATTTAGTAAATTTTCTTGTATTCAATTGTTCAATAGCCCTTCTTGCTGAAAATTGTCAATTTCTTAAACATCATATTGCTTTTCATACAATTATACACAGCGGAAAGTAAGGGGGGAAATTGATTAGAAGCTAGGGTCAATCAATGAGTGGTCAGCCGTAGAAGTTCGCTTCGAAAAATTTCACGTCACTTTATCGACAGGATTATCAAAACTGGAAACCGAAAATGTCGAAAGAAAAAATCCTTTTTTGTTTAGTAAGCATATCCAAGCTGTTTCGTTCATACTTTGATGACTCATTAACTGCTCCTACCGTGATGAGTTTCTCCACCATGAAGTCATAGTCAGTCTCCAGCTTGTGCACCTGGGACTGCAGCTGTTCCTTCTCCTCCTCAGCCCCCCTCGCCCTCTCCTCCATCTCAACCACTTTACTCTTACTGGCCTCTGCCTCGTCCTGAAATAGAAAATGAGCATATGAGATAAAATATCCCATGAATCTTTTGGGTTATTTTAGATATGGGAAACGAACGTAGTTAAGTTTAAAGATTTCTTATTCACAAGGGAAAGGACCATTATATGAGCTGTTCAGCTCTTCACGGTTGACCGCTGTAGCGCCCCTACTTAAAAAATGCATGCAAATTTTTTGGCTGTTTTAGATCTTTTTAACTATTCCGATGGTTCCTATAGTCGAGACAGTCGATAAATACCCATATTTGGCCGAGAACGTCGAAACATATCTATGCGGGGTTGAACAAATAATTTTTTAAAATGTCGGTCAAGACCGTCGAGAAAGTTGCAACATATTGAGTTTTGGTCGAGAAAGTCGAAACATATGTGAACTGGGTCGAAACCAGTCGAATACTTTTTTCGTTGGGTCGAGAAAACCGAAACATACCAAAACTTGGTCGAGAAAGTTAAAACATACCAAAATTTGGTCGAGAAAGTCGAAACATATCATAATTTGGTTGAGAAAGTCGAAACATACCAAAATTTGATCGATACGGTCTTAACATGCCAATTTTTTGTCGAGAAAGTTGAAACATAGCACCTCGACCCGGGTAGTAAAATATCCACCCTAAGAAGAACTAATTCAACGTTTAAGCATATTCAAGTTTTGTACCTAAAACCGAATCCCCTTTTGCAATAGTTGGAGGGGATAGGTGAAAAGATCCAAATGTTTTTCATTTTCAAGCAATGAGCAGGAATTTTGAGAACGCCAGTCTTATTACAAGGGACAAAACCCTTATAACCCGCACCCAGGGGATTTTCTGTGCAAGATCTGAAATTCTTTATTTCTTACATAAGTTTCGTACATCTAAAATTTGGATCTGAAATGGAAAATTTCAGGTCTGAATTAACCTTGAAAAACAAAATTTCAGATCTGAAATCAGATCTGAGAAATCTTTTGTTAAATTATAATTCATGCATTTCGAGCGAAACATGGAGTTTTTATTTTTTGATGTTTCTGCAATACACTTTTATTATTAAGTTAACAAGCGGTCAGAAAAACTTCCGAACATTTTCACAAACAGTTTTTTTTGAACTAATATTCTTGTTCAACTGTGTTAAAAAGTTTTCAAAAACTGTCAGAAAACCTGTAACATTTTTTACTTTCATTATGCGTTTCCAATGTTTATCTCATGCTTGGGGAAACATACTTGGCCAGTCTCCACCTTGAGACTATCCTGAGTACCTGCTAGTAGGTGGCCAGTCAGTAAGCAGAATGGTCTAAAAGAGAATGGGTCCAAGAGCAGAAAAACAGAAAAATATCAATTTTTAAACGATAATCGGTAAATTAATTGTCAGAAATGTCAAAAATACCAAAGAAACGAACATTTTATGCACAATGTGCTTAAAGTCATCAAGAACTTTTTAAAAAAATGTATTCTAAAAACTTAATGAAATTAGTCAATTCATGCATGATTTGTTCGTTTTCTTGGTATTTTTGACGATTCTAATAATTGTTTTATCAATTAGCCCGTATAAACCAATATAAGTCATTTTTTTCTGTTTTTCTGCTCTTGGACCCATACTGCTCTGGGACCATTCTGCTTATTGCTCCGCCTCCCTGCTAGTAGATAGCAGAAGCTAAAAAAAATAAAAATAGCAAATATTAAGTCTGAATCATTGTTATTTCAGATCTGAAATAACCAAAAAAAACTAAATATCAGATCTGAAATTAGATCTCAAATAGATTTTTTCAGATCTGAAATGACCAAGAAATACAAAACCTGAAATACCTGAAATTAGATCTGAAATAGCCAATCCTTAAAGTATCCAAGCGTTATTTAAAAATTTCACAACCCATTCCTATTTCAGATCTGAAATTTAGATCTGAAAAAAATATTTCAGACCTGTTTTAGAAAATTTACTGGGTACGGGAAGCACACCATTCGTTCGGCTCTGGATAAACAATGATCAGATACCGTTGTTGAATGGAGGCGTTTTCAGTTTATGAGTAACAGTTTAAAGGAGTAGAGAGGTCCAATCTCAAGTATTGAGGGTTCAGGGGTTCATTTTACGATCCTACGGTTCCCCAGGGGGCATCGGAACCCACTAAAGTACCTTCAAATCGTCGATTTCACCCAGCAGTTCCTGCACGTGATTCCTCATCTCCATGATTTCCTCGTCCCAAAACCTGTTCTCACTGTCCCTTCCATATACGGAAGGTGTGAGATAGGCGTTGCCGACTGCATTCACTGCTTTGTGATCCGATGCCATGACTCTGGTATTTCGGGTCTCAGGCGTCGGTCTGGCTAAGTGTGGTTCTGGGGTGCAGTTCAGAATTTGGGCCTGGTTGACCTGGGTTGAGGCATTCACTACTGCTGGCTTTCCTTAAATTTAGCTTAATGTGAAAATTGGCTCGGAGTTCTCTAAGAACATTGATAGCAAGGATTTACTTGTTCAATTTATCTTTTTTATCAATATTTCAAACTTAGATATTGAAACTGCTCATAAGAAATCCTTCATGAAAAATAACTTGTTTTTCAGAGTTTCAATAAAAACAAAAGCCCAAACGACTCATATTTGTTAGCGTTTTTTTGCTACATTATTCTTCCTAAGTGAGCAAATTGTCGTTAATAAGTTCTATAATCGTGGACAATAGCTACTATTCCCACTAATTCTTGAAGCTACTATTCCTACTAGTTTTCTGAAATTTCACATCAAATCTAAATATAAAAAAGAGACTAACCGACTTGTAGACCCCTGACAAAAGTGTCTTCGAATGAGCGGCTGGGGTAAATTTCAACGGGTGGGAGTTTGAGCAACTGAGTCTCCGTCGGGGCTCCTTTGCCAGTCACTCTTAACTGGCCTAACGGTCTAGTTGACGAATTTATTCCTTCGTCAAGTGTGACTTTATGTCTTGACATGTTTTTGCTGCTGCTCATTTTTGAATGTTTGGCTTGAGCTTTTGCGTTTGTTATAATATATAAGATATTGTGTATGAATACAACGTGTATTGTTTCTTTTATTGTTACTGTGTTCGAGTAGAAGATATAAATAAGTTTTTACTTTTTATCAAATATGTTAGTCACAGTTATCTGTGAGTGATTCAAACTTTCATAAGATCTGACATATTTACAATAAAAACCTCAAATATTCCACTCCCACGCCACCAAAAGATTCCCGCCCTTAGTACTATTTTTTGGAACTAACTTTCGGCCGAAGCCCTTAAAATATCTCTGAAGGCTGTTTCGGCGCCAATTTATAATAATTCTAAGGAGGGGGGGAGTGGGGGCACGCGCCAATAAATACATTTTTTTTTTGGCTAAAAGCATCCAAATAATGCCCGAAAACAGCGGTGAAAAAGGCTTCCAAAAGTTGCCCCAACACTAAGCGGATTTTTTTTTTCAAAAGAAGCTCTTTATTGTTTTAAAAGATCTCGGATATCATTTTGGTCAGCCTGAAAAAAAGTCATCAAAATTTTTGAAATCCTTTTTCTGGTAGTTCATAGACACTGCGCTACACTCTCTGCTCTAAGAGACAATAAAAAAACATCAACTAATCATTTTCATAGTCATCAGCATTGAAATGTATAAGAATTCTGATTTTGCTTGGATCTGTTAGTTTTTTCTATGTTCATGAGGAAGCCGCAGTTTTTTTGCATCTGTTTTCTCCAATCTTATGACAGGCATGAGAGGTACACAAAACGAAATCTGAAGTCAAAAACAGCATTAAAACAAATTTTGAACAAGAAAAAAAAATCAGCTCAATTTGCTTTTTCATCTGAATTCTTCCTGAGTTTAAACATTTCTTTTCAAATTGGTACGTTACAATCAAAGATCGATTCATGTATAACTTGATAAAACATTTCGAAACACCAAATTGAGAGATCTTCCACGGAAATTTTTGAATTGTTGGTTCATTTGAGCAATCCCCTCATTCGCGCGTGGGGGGGGGGGTTACTTGAGACATGTTTACAGCCACTTGAAAGTAGTTCTTACCACTTGAAACTAGATTGATTTTAGTTTTGAGAAGGGATTATCAAAGTTTGCTGCCTCTTTCCTTAAACAAAGATTTAGCAATAAAATTTTTAAGCAATAAAATAATTCTAAAAAATTCTTGTCTCTGCACTGCTTGCCACACTCCCCACAGGTGGACAAAAAATCAAAAAACCAAGTATGGATTTGGCTGGAGATGCCACAATTGGACGTGTAGTTGATTTAGGTTAACAACATCAATTCGAAGAGACATTTTTTTGAAAACTCAAACATTGATCTCCCAAAATGGATTCAAATTATTTTTCTTTGGGGAATGCGGGGGTCAAAAAATTGCCGCAATTCAAGTAGGAGTTTCAAAGAGAGCAATTGTCGACGCTTTTGCCTCCCTTCGAGAAACTTGCCAGCGGCATCTTATCGCCAACCCAATTTAGCTTGACGGACCATCAAATGTGCTAAAAAAAATGGCGAATCTTGTTTCAGACTTAAGCAAGAACATCACAGAGGTCGCATTCCACAGCAACCTATATGGGTTTATGGAACTGTAGATACCAGCTATGAACCGGTGATTGGTTATACAGAAATTTTGCAACGAAGAAACGCCGAACATTCCTTCCGATTATCCAGAGCGTAGCTCGTCCTGGATCAATCGTACATTCCGACAAGTGGCGAGCTTATCGAGGTATTCAAGGCATGGAGTTCGCCCATAAAAGAGTGAATCATTCGATGTATTTTGTGGAACCCGATGGGACACAAACTCAAACAATGGAATCCTGCTGGAACCGAAAAAAAACCCTAATCGAGAGCTTGGATGCCGACGAGTTTCCCTGCAATTTTATTTGCAAAAACCCATGTCCAGAGATTGATTTCGCTCGAGAACAAGAAGATTATTTTGCATATGATCATTTTTTTTTCTCTACAAACCAAAACTGGCCAATAAGTGTTATTTCTTTGTTTAATGTTTGAATTTTGTTTTAGTTCTTTATAAGTTGCTTTTATTTTGCTGGGGGGAGGTAACTCAATATGTCATTTTGTCACTACGGGGGGGGGGGGGGTTGTGGGGAGTGGTATGTGGGGGGGGGGGAGGTGGGGAGTGGTATGTGGGGGGGGGGAGGGGGAAGATTGCTCAATTGATCCGAACTTTCGATTGACGTCTCCTCCGGGCACTTAATCAACATGACAGTCCTATCTTTATTCTGTTTCAATATCCAGAAATTGTTTTCAAAAAATAGTTTCGGGTCTAAATTTTTGAACGATTTAAGAAAAAAAATGAAATAAAACTACAAATTGACAATTATCGAGAAAAAAAAAACAGATTTTATCAAAAAAAGTAGCAATTGACTACTACCTTGAACAGAGTTATATAGAAGTTTGGGTAGAAACGAACTCGATTTCTTGCTATCCAATTCTAATACTTTTAACGAAAACGAAAATTAGGACGGCTCAGTCAATTCAATAAAAGCTGAGTTCTATTAACAAATAGCTTTTTGTTTTGATTTGATTTTAAAAACTCATTTCAAGGTCACCATTCCTCAGTTCTTACAGATGAACTTTTTTGTCAGAGCAATTTTCGTATTTATTGAGTTAGGACCGAAGTGTATAACTCATAGAGTAATTTCGGATAGGGTACACCGTCTGCTCGTCACGCTATCTTATTTTCGGCCGGATAGATTCGTGCAACTTCTTAGTCTAATACCAATCCTAATCTTACTCTTATACTATCTAGTCTCAGGTTGTTTAACTAGTCTCTGCTAGGCTCAATAGATCTAGGGTATACTGGTTTATTGCGGTTGCTGAAGTCTTCTTGGAGAGTCAACTAATTTCTAAATTAAATTCAAATCTCTCTGGTGCTGAAATTATAAGTAATTTCAGCACTTACAAATAAGTGGGTTGTTAGTTAGATGGATCATGATTGGTTAATATTAAATACTTTACAGTGGTAAAATATCTAATTTATCCAATCATAAAATGTAGTTTAGATCAGGTTCCACCCATCCGGGTTTTGCAGAGTTTTTTAGAATAGTCTTTCTGTAATTCAAAGGATGGATGATGGACGTTGGTGTTTGGCGAACATCATATTTCTTCTGGGTTCTCTTGTTAGAGAAGTTCCAGGTTCGATCGTTGTGTCATCTCATGACAACGACTGGGTTTTCGCAACAAACTCAAATCTGATTTCAGAATGGTTGGCTATGTCAGGTTTTTCTGTTTCATTGATGAGAACTTCTTTGTGTTTTGATCTTGTCTGGGAATGGCGTGGAGATTGTGCGTGGAGGGGATGCCTGGTTACTCGGATCTGTACGTATACTTGAGCATCGAGGTGGTCATTGGTCTAGTTCAATGAAGTCCTTTTCTGCGAAGTCAAGTCGTACTCTAAATCCTTTGAGTTGTGATTGTGGGCGGCATATTGATTGTGGTTGGCCAATCTTTTTCGAGTGTAGTGGGTTCATTTTGTCTTTGGATGTTCGTCTTTGGTGTTTTATGCTGATCTATATATTGCATAATATAATTTACATTTTATAAAACTTTTATTAGTTTAATGTTTTTTAATTATGATTTTGGTTAGTTGTTTTCACAAAAGCTTTTTGTTTTAGTTCAGTTATTTTGAAGAGTTACTCACCCTTGAGTAGCTCTTATTAAAAATAGGAGTGTGTGTCACAAAGCGTGGATGTAGCGCGGTGGGTTAGGCCGGCTATAGAGCATGCTCAGGACGTCCTCTTCTGGTGGGTTAGGCCAGGAGTGGGAGTATGATTGCATGCGGTTTTTGTGAGAGGTCCTGTTATGTGACAACGTTTTATGTTGGGTTTGTTGTGGTTTTTCTTATGTTTTGTTGGTTGTGTCCTTTTTTCAAAAATCAAATTATCCAGTTTTAAACTGGGTTAATGCGGTTTGGGTACCGTTGGTTTCCTTTTCTTAGTCATGCTGTTATGCTATGTGTTGTGGTGTTTAGTAAGCTGCATTGGTTAGTTTTGTTTAGTATATAATTCCTTTCCAACCGGGTTAAAGGAAAGTTTGAAACTTGTTATCGTGTGTTAGAGTTGTTGAGTGTGAAAGCTTGAAACTGAAATTCATTATTTAAACAATTCTTCGTGGGCGAGCTGTGCGAATTTGGATAGAATTCTTGTGCGAGTGAATGAAAATATCAAAAGGTTAGTACTGCATTCGTTTCTTATTAATTTACTACATAGAATTTCAATTTTACTGCTAGTTGTTGGGGAAAATTAAGTTACAAATTTTCATCATTATTAGATTTACTGCATTTGGGAAAAAATTTATAAATTAAATTATTGCATTGGTATTATTTTTATTTAATTATTTGGTGCAAAAAATTAATAGAGTTTTAAACAGTTTGAAGAAGTTTTTAATTTTCATTTTCTTTTGTGAATTTTTCAGATGATCGTTGGATGAAGGCTAAAATTCTAAAGAAGACATGAATAAAGAATGGTTAGTTTCTAATTTTAATAACTAGTTAATACTATGTATAGTTCATACTTACCTGTTAGTCGTCGGGGAAGAAACCGTGGGGGAAGATGTCGTGGATGAGATCTGAAGTTGTTAGTAATTTAGCTAGGATGCGGATGATATTTTTAGTTTGAAGCAGTGGCCAAAGCAATTGAAGTGCTTTAATGGTGGTTAGTTCTTCAGTGCCAACTGCAAACTCATAAGGTGTGTTTTGGATTAGATTATATAATTTGTGATTGAATTTAGTGTTGTGGATGAATTCTAAAATTGGGATTTCTGTAGGTTGAACAAATTCGTGTGGGAGGAGAAAGGGTCGGGATTCTTCTGCGTTGAAGGTCTTGGTAATGGGACAAAAAAATACATTTGGGTTATGGGATCATAATTTCGAAGAATACCATGAAGGTTAGTATCTTTAATGCAATATGTGAAGTTAAGAAAGAATGGTGAGGTGTATTTGGAATTGATGAATTGAAAACGGTGGTGTGGTTGTCTGGAGGGGGTGTGTAGGTCGAAGTGATTTTGGATAAAACGATAATATGTATATGTGTGAGTTTGTTTAGTGCGCAACATAATATCGTGTGAG